TGTATTGCCAACAGACAGGTGGGTGACGCGCAACACACACACACACACACATCCATCCCTCTCTCTCTCTCTCTGTATGTGTGTGTGTGTCACTTTAGTACGGCCGCGCCATCTCTGTCTACGAGGAGATGTTGCAGAGCCGAGTGGTGCCCGACGGCAAGACTTATGAGACGGCCATTCAGGTGCGGCTGTGCTGTGCTGTGCTGTGTGTGCGCGCGCATCCTCCTCCCCTGGTATCTATCTGTGTGTCTGTGTGCGGATCGGTGTGTCAGGCCGCCATACGCGCGGGCGACGTCCACTACGCCGTCAAGATCATTGAGGATGCCCACGAGCTCAACACACACAACCATCACAGTGGCCACAGCTACAACCAGGCACCGCAACGACACACAAGAGGTACACTCAATCACTCACATACACACACACAGACAGACAGACAGACAGAGCCATTCTCTCGTCCATGTGTGTGTGTGGACAGGTAGGGGTAGGGGCGGCCCACCTGGTGGTGGTGGGGGAAGCGGTGGCTATCACGGCCCCTCCCGCTCGCGGCTCGAGTACGGTGTGATGGAGCAGTGCTTCCACGCCGTAGCCCGCAACGGACAGCTAGAGGTACCTATCCTCCTCACACCACACACCCCACCGTCAGGCACCTCCCCACCTCTCTCTCTCTCTGTCTGTCCATCAGGCATTGTGGCTGCCTCTGCTGGACCGGCTCCGTACCTCTCCCCACCCAGTCGACCCCCAGATCTTCGCCAACCTCTCTTCAGCAGCAGCAGCAGCGGCGGCCGACCACCATCAGCAGCATCAGCGGCATCACACGCATAGCCGGCGGCCGAGAGGTGGCGGGGGTGGTGGTGGGCAGAGAGGAAGGGGTGGCGGCAGGGGGGGCGGGGGCGGGGGAGGGCACAGAGGCGGCCCACCTGGCGGCGGTGGGGCGTTTGGCTGATTGACTGATTGGATCGGCGATTGAGTGGTGGCGTCTGCGTGTCCTATGCCTCTGTGTGTGTGGGGGTGTGTGTTTATGCGGGACCCTTTTCTTTATATCTGGGACGTTTACGTGTGTGTGCGTGAGAGCTATCCACCCATCCATGTATGTATGCGTCTTTTTCTGTGTCTGTCTTGTCTGTCTGTCTGTCCATGTCGTGAGTGCCGTGCAGTGCCAGCGCCCCGCCGGATCATGCAACACGCTGTGTAGAGGCGGGCGATGCAGAGCAGACGCGTCTTGTCAGGTGGGGGTGTGAGATGGGAGCCAAGAGAGAGAGAGAGAGAGCACAGGGGGTTTTCTTTATTTGTGAGTGCGTGGGTCCACTGACTGTGAACAGAGCGCCTGTCTGTCTGTCTGTTTTGCGTTTTGTATTGGTTTTGTTTTGTTTTGTTTCGTTTGTCTGTGTAAATGCAGTCAGTCGTCGTGTGAGTGAGTGAGTGAGTGGATGAAGAGTGAATGGTGTGAATGCGCATTACACACGTGTGTGTGTGTGTGTGTGTTAGTTATGTGACACGAACGAACGAACAGCAGAGAACGAACGAATGGATGGAATTCAAGACATTCATTCGTGTGGCAGAGGGAGAGGGGAGGGGAAGGGTGTGATGTACACATCCGACCAGAGAGCAGAGTCGAGCAAAGGAGAGGAGAGGACAGCAGAGAGCTCACGTGATGTGCGCTGCGGTGCGCTAGGCAACCTGACAGACAGACAGACAGACAGGAAAGAGACGCACCCACACCTTTGTGTAAATATAAAGAACCACCCGACCTTCTCTTTCTTCTCTTCCTCTGTATATTTGCACTCCACGCCAGTTTTGTGTGTTTCCTGCTCGCATCGTATCTCCGTCTGTCTGCCTGCCTGTCTGTCTGTCTGTCTGTTCCCCGTGTCATCAGGTCAGTGTGTGTTGTATACCTTTCCCGCAAGTCACGTCAGGCCAGATCAGGTCACAGAGAGGCCGCAGAGAGGGCGCCTTTTTGATTGACTGATCGAGCGATCGATAGAGAGAGGGAAGGGGAGAGAGGAGAGAGCGTGCTCTCCATCCACACACACACACATGCATGGCTCCTGCCAGGTCATACTATCATTCTACCGCCCTGCGATTGGTGTCTGTCTATCTGTCTGTGTGTGCGTCCGATCGTTTAAGTGAGGGAATTAACAAACAGCACCGTCATGCGCAGCACCTCATGTCACCTCTCGGGTGTGTATGGTATGTATAGTAGCGAGAGGGAGGGAGGGGGGGAGGGAGGGATTATGTATCGTTCACCGATCTGGCCATCTCTGTCTGCCTGTCTGCCTGCCTGTCTCTCACCGCTGATAAGATTTTGATCCGCCTCGCTAGATGTCTTGCTGTCCTTGCGTCCTTCCTCGGCTGGCTGCCTGGCTGGTTTTTTCCCCGGACCGACACACACACATGCAGATGATGGGTGGTGCGGGGAGTCTTCTTCTCCCGTTGCACGCCTTTCTCTCTGTCTTCCTCTCTCTCCCTCTGTCTCTGTCTCTGTCGATAGCTACCTGGCCTCCTCTGCCCTCCCACCTTTCCCGCATTCTTTGTTGCGTGTGAGTGCTGATGGATCCGTTGTGTCCTCACATCACGGTGTTGTGGGTGTGGGTGTTGCGTGATAGAGTGAGTGATTGAGTTGAGTGGGCTGTGAATGGAGCACATGCATATGGCTGGCTGACATGGCTGGCGTGTGGATGAGTGTCGGTCTGTCTGCATGCGGTGGGTGGACAACGCTATGCGAACGAAGTGAGGGGGGGAGAGCCTGAGTGACTTGATGTCTGTTGTCTGTATGTTGTCTGCCGTATGTAGGGAGGAGACTAGAGAGCAGAGAGACAACTTGCAATCACCGTAACACTCGTCTGACACTCATACAAATACAGTCCCATGAGCCCGCAGAGTCAAAGAGGCTTAAGGGGGGAGGGATCGATCCCCACCCTATCAGCACAGACCAGTCCCGCAAGCCCCTCCCTCCCTCCCCCACGCAGACAAACGCGAGCGAATCCATTCAGACACATGACTGAATCCCCGACCCTTCCACTCCTTCTCCAACAGCATGTGGGCGATGAACACGTTAGCATCGTGTCCCCACAGAGGGCAGAAGGTCACGCGGAAGTCGCAGACGGCCGAGCGGTACTTCGTATTCTTGGTGGTCTCGTGCTGCTTCAGGATGGCCGTGGTCGATCGATTCTTCGAAGCAAAAGACGGTGCGTCGGCATCAGTGATGCAGATGTCAAACCGACGGAGCCGCCTGCCGTGCGACGAGGTCCGCCCTGACCCCACCATTCCCCTCCTCTCCCTCCTTCAACACCACCTCCCGACGCACACCAGCGTCCCCCCACGCCATCCCAATCAGCTCGGCAAAAGTGTCCCACAGCTCGTTGTGGCGACGAATCACCAGGCCGTACCGCTTGCAGCACATCGCATGGTCGGCAGTGAGGGGCTGGTTGCTGTGGTCGCAGCGTGCAGTGAGGCCGGGTGGGTGACGGCCGTGTCGCATGTTGAGGGCATCTCGAAACTCCGCGGAATCAAGACCAGCGTTGTTGTCTGTCGACGGGAGGGTGGTCAGCCAGCCGGACGTCTTGTATTCGGCGCTGCGGGAGAGGACGCGATGTCGCCGGCGGACGATGCGCGGCAGGGCGGCTTCCCTCTTGGCTTTGTAGGCGGAGTCCTGCTTTTGCTGCTTCTTCGGGCTGGACCTCCGAATCCTCCACTTGAGTACGAGGCGCTTGAAGATTTCCCATAGCGATCTGAAGAGGATGAAACCCAAAGCACTGGTCACTTGCTTGCCGACCCTGAAGCCGTATATAGCTGGAGCCGGGCAGATTCAATGCCGACCGATCAATCATCAATGAGAGCATAATAGAGCCCTTCATCGACGCTCGAGCCCCTGAAGCGGTTTCTCGCGTGTCGTCTGTTCACACCTGCCTTCGCTGACACGAACGCACACACACACACACACACACACATCCGTACGTGTACTTACCCGTCCTCTCTGTCT